TTTAATCAACGTATAAATAAAAATCCCGCTTCCCTTTGTGCATGGGGCGACCACACTTCTGTGTCGGGTTCACAGATCGGTTTTATGTACAGGTCAATCAGACCTTGCCCGATTGAAACAATCTATTGCTTCTCCGCAACTTGAACCCAGGACCTCTAGCACTTAACGGAATGCTAGGCAACATGTTTGAACATTTAGCTGCAGAGGCGGACACTTATAATATCAGTGTCCATCAAACACAACCCGCGCCTCACTAATTTGTGATTAAAATATTAATTCAAACCACAAAGTTGCATTTCAATATAACAATTAATTACTTATATTCTAGTTTATGCGGTTTTATAAAACACCGCCATTTTGTATCGCCGGTGTGCGGAGTTTGGCTGCCGAATGTTTCGAATAAAAGTTCGCAGTGCGTGTAGAATTCGCTCGAAAATGCGGAAATAGGAAATAAAACGGCTTTAGTATTTAGAGTATGCTACTGACTCGTATGATGTTAATAAATATGAAGAATTTGAAGTCAGAGCAATGTGTCTGTAATTAAAATCCATTAATAAAACTGATACATATATTATGTACATCCCACAACTTGCAATGAGGAAAGCTCGTTAAATAATAGAAGACACTTAAAAACTCATGTCCTTTTATTAATCCCAGATTTTGTAATTGTTGAAATTAAATTGTTTAAAGCTAGTTTGAGCTGTTTAAATCTTTTATTAATTGAGAAAAACTACGAAACAACTTACTACTTAACTTATAAACATTTTTCATTAACATCTAATTTTAATTTCCTACTTAATTTCAATTCTCGTTAGTTTTGTATGCTAATATGACAACCGAAGATATTGAGTATATATTAATTCAAACTTTTTATATCCCTTTTCGGTTTTATACCTTCATAATGCGTATGAAAACAATGTAAGCAAAATACCTAATCTATGGTTAAGGCTGCTGCGAAGCGTCCTGAATGTCAATCAGAATTACAATAATATATTTCGGATTTAAATTCGTTAAATGTTTTCTCTACTCGCGGCACCAGGCGAACCTTATAAACAAATTACTGTACTCCCAGAGCGGCAATATACGTCGTTCCGTTGTAAATAGTACATACATTTATATCAATATTACCGAGTCGTAAAATAGATTTAAGATGTCAACATTACAGTAGTGGCGTGTCGCGCAGGTCCGGACACTAATGTCGGAGTAATGTTCGAGGCACTTGAGATTGCCACAAGTTAATAGAGGGCACGAATTATATGGGCCGTGTGAACATTATGTACTTAGGGGGTTTCACACGATCTCCCATACATAATACAACTTTTAAGTTAAATTGTTACTTACACAACTAACACCCATTTGATTGACGACATAGAACAATGGCCTGATAAATGTTAATAAAAAAAATGCTGCCATTTATTTATCCCAAATTATATCACGTTGTATATATTAATAGTATTTTCTCAAGATGTTCAATCTAATAAAAATATTTACAGCACTAGTTAATAAATATGAAAACTAACAATAAGAAATAAAGAAAGATGTCAGTGTCGCGAGGTGGGGAGGCATAATCTAAGTTGTTTATGAGAGAGTAGAGTTCACTGAATGTAAGGGTAAATACACTGACCCATATAACATTTAAACTATGTTCATAAATGTATAGACTGAAGCTGAAACACGATTAAGCTTCACGGCTTTTTCATCTGTGGAAAGTGGTTTGACCCGATCGAGATTACAGTGTTCCTATAAAGTGTTTCAAGAAAATCATAAATTGTGTAGAAACATGGTGGATCTGGTAGAGATCGGATCTTCAACCCGTTGATTCTAAGCAATTAATTGCTAACATTAGACTAACGGATTCATCAAAAAAGGTGCCTCATTTTTTTAAAGCATTGTTAACTCCAGGTCCAAAATATTGCTAGCCAATACAGAAACTAACACTGTCTATAGTATACGCGAGTAGTACAAATTTAAATAAAACACTTTAACGGTTTAAAACGCGATATATTAGTTAAACTTATTTAAAAATCATTTTTAAATAAGTTTAACTAATATATCGCGTTTTAAACCGTTAAAGTGTTTTATTTAAACAGAAACTAACATACAATATTTTTTACTCCCATAACTTAAAGTTCACACAGTCTTTTTTTCGTACACATTGCAACATAGTAATTTTGAATTAACAAAATCCTGAAGGAGAAAAGCTTTCGAATCTATCTAAAGACAGCTGGACTACAAGCAACAGACAAACCTGGAACAAAATAAGTCCTACTATCAGCCATGTAGTTTCATGGTTTCTAGAAAGCAATTTTTAAATTATTTGATTATTTATCTTATTCATTCTTAAAATAGTTTGCACCTGTATAAATAGTGATGCATATAATATAGCTGTGTACTTTTGTTTTATATCATAAACCTTTAGCGTAACTAAAATATTCAGAATTCAAGTCCAATAGTTGATAGTAAACTAAAAAGTGTCAATACACTTTCGGTCGATCAACTACAAAAATATACACGAGAATTTAAATATTAGTTAACTTTTTTTTTAACGAGAGGACACCTTGAATCAGTACTATAAGGACCCAGCCACCTTCTCCAAATATCTACACGACGAGTTGGCGCTAGCGTAGCAATTTATTATGACATTAGGGACACCCTCCATGTTCAGTCCCCCAGTGACCACGGCTGCTGTAAAGCTTCCGAACATTGGACCGTAATTAAAGTAAATTAATTAATACTTCGCATTTAAACGGTTAGGTGTTTCATTTAAACGAGTACCACTCGCGTACAAACAACACACGACCGATAAAGGCCTTATACATCATGTGTGTTTGACCGCCTCTGTAGCCGAATTTTTAAACATGTTGTATAGCGTTACGTGAAACGTGAAAGGGTTTGGGTTCGAATCTCAGGGAAACGAACCGATCAATGAAATTTATATAGAAATATGGTTGCCCCATACCCCACGGGGGGAAACGGAATTTCACTTTTCATACCTCATGTCAAGTAAACGAGAGTACACACATAATAACTTTTTAATAAATTGCACTGTATTTTAAAACCAAATTCGTGTGAATGCGCCTGTACGATGACACACTTGTACACTACATGTTGAACTACGACGTAACATCCTTTAGTCGCTTGTAACATGTTACTAGCGATACAATAAGTCACTAAGGCTAGGCATGTACATATACAGAAATCGACAAACATGTATAATTTAGTATCTTGCTCTGAGACGTCCATTTTGCCCTTCTATTTTCCTTATCATCAATAATAGTTCTAATAAACAATAAAATATTAATATGTTTCAGTTTTTCAATGTTTTATCAGGATAAAAATTTGATTTAAAGGTATGTAGCTTAAAAGAAGTTTACGGTTTCGAAAAATAAAACGAAATTTCCCATTAGGTTATTGCTTGCAACGTTACTTTATACGTTTAATTAAACCATAATTTAATGTATCCTCTACTTTAAGTTAAGTTTACCGCCTTTGTAGCTAAATGGTTAAATGTGCCGCCTAGCATTGCGTTAAGCGCGAGAGGTACTGGCTTCAAATCCCGGGGAAACAATAAATTGTTTCGGTCGGGCAGGGTACAGAAGTCTGATCAACTACTTGCTTGTAAATAAAAACCGATCTGTGAAAGGGACGCAGAAATGTGTTCGACCTATACCTCACAAGGGCAAACGGGATTTCACTTCTACTTCAAGTATACTGCCTCTATTGTTTATGATGTGTTACAATAAGACGTTACTTCAATATCAACTTGGCTTGAGAAAAAATTAAAATATGATAACTATTTAAAAACATCACTTTTTTAGATGTGTTATTTTAGGTGAATATGAATGTAATTGTCTAATATCACTATCGCATTATTATCCAATAAATATAGAATAAGTTTTTATAAATAAATAGAATTATGTATAAAATATAGTGTCAATAATATCTAAATATAATGTTTTCTGTGTTTTCGCTGATCTATGGGTAAGTTGCAAAGATTTCTGTGTCCTACCAGACCAAAAGAATTATATTTATTTATTAGAAGCATGAGCGGTTGGAAGTGGTCTCGGAATCGGCAATCGGCAACTATATAATTATTAAACTATTATCTTACGAGTATCCAATCACATCACGACAAGACTCGAAAAAGTAACTCGAAAGGGATGTACGAGCGTGTTCAGAATATAATAAACGTGAAACCTTTCGCGTCTCCGAAATGCGGAATAAAGGAGCCGCACTGTTTTCCCATTGTATTTTCCCAAACACTTGAAAAGCAAACCGCATTTCTTAAAGTAAATAGAGCGGTATTACCTGACATCTCTGTCGAATTTCCATCTCCACTGCTTTCGCCCACTGACGTGAATAAAATCCTTTCAAATGTGCAAAGAGCGCGCGATGTTTGCAACCTCTTTGTTGGATGTGAACTGGATTTTTTCGAAAAAGAATGTTTGTGGAAGAGATAGGTTTTAATATTAACGTGCGATTTGGGCTGTCACGACGTTGGGCCGGCGTTTAGCTAAGTACGAATTGCCAGGAGTGGGGTATTTTTAAGCCCTTTAACATGTGTTCATCCGTCATATGTTTGCACAGGTTAATATTTCACTGTTGGTAGGAGACCAATGTGATTCCACTATTTGTGAAATCAAATAGTTCTGTTTATTAATCTAAATTGTTACAATAAAAACCAATATAATATAAAGTGTCATTGTTTTTGAATGTTTTATTAGATTTGACGTAAGCATTATAACATAAATACAATGCGTATAACGCGTTTTTTAAGTATTAAATTTATTGTTATTATTATAACGTTACTATAATAATTTTATCGATTCAGCTGTATAACTCACGTTCCACGTTTATTACAATATTGAACAATTCAATAACTAACAAAAGTATTTATGGACTTAGGTGTTATTTTTTTATATAGAGATGGTTCATTAGCAAGGTCGAAAATATGTCCCAAAGAGATGGAACCACTGACTGTTCTCAATTAACATGTGTTATCAATTAACTTGTTTCAACGTCACTTCGTCTTCCGCCACAGTAATGTCACTTTCATCAAAATATTGCTCAACCTCCAATATAGTTCTATCTTTCGTTTCTGGCAAATATTTATAAATAAGTCCAATAAAAAAATACGAAGCTACTCCATAGAACAGAAACGAACCGCGTAATCCGATAAATTTGAAAAGATAAGGAGACGCTTTAATGAAAACAGCCATCAATATATTAAACAAGAAACACAGAAAGAACAAATACAAGCTCCTATTCTTCAAAGGAGTCAATTCTCCAGATATACACAACGACATGATTATAGGTCCACAACTCATTGATATAGAATACGCCGCTAATAAGAATATCGAAAAGTACGTATTTTCAGTTATAACTTTTAGCTCAATCAAATGTAAATATAAGGACAACAGCAATAAAAATAGTGCACCTATTGACGACGCGCTTAATATTAACGTGCGACGTTTAAGAAATTTCGATAATGCTGTTCCTACATACATCCCTAATACAGTAGAACCGTCCAAAATAAGCATAACGTTGTAAGCCGTCGACTCGCTTATAGTGATATCCTTCAAAATGCTTATAGCGTAAATGCTAAACGCAAACTTACCACAAACTTGATACAAGCAAATCGTAAGCGTCGCTGTGAGTAGAGGCTTATAAAACGCTTGATTTCCTATCGCTTTTACACCGTTATTCAATTTATCTGCATTTGATAATTTACTATGTCTATTCAAACGTTGTTTTTGATAACTTATTAGTATTTTAAGTTCCTCCTCAGATTTTTCATCGGTTCCCTTCAGCCACCTATGTGATGTTTCGCAATCGCTAAATCGGCCCTTAGATGCGAGCCAGTACGGCGATTCTGGCCACAACAATGTTGTTAGTGTATACACGCTGCATACAAAACTAACAAGAGCAATGTTCTTCCAATGAAAGTACGTTCCTATGGCGTTCGACATCCATATTCCCCAATATGTGGTGGCAGATTTGAAAGTCATAAACAGGCCTCTGTACCTCGGCGAGAACTCCGTTAAAACCATTAATGAGATAGTTAGATGGGCCGGTGGTTGCACACCGATGATAATTTGACTGATGATGATGTGGATTGGGGTTTCGCTGAAGTATAGAATGACGCTGCTCAATATTGCATCAATACAAAGCAGGATTTCGGTCTTCTTTCGACCATAGGTGTGAGCAAATAGTGGAATGATCACCGCCCATGGTAAAGAACTGTAGAACACAGTTGATGCTGTAATTGAAAATATGTTATTAATTTCTTAATTCAATTTTATACAGCTGCAGGAATGAGTCAATGACACGTAAATAAAGAAAAGTAAACAAACAAAGAGGTATTTAATTAGTCTCAAAATGTACTCATAAAATTAGTAATGGTAAAGCTAATGAACTGTTGAACTTACACAACCACGATTCCATAGACAAGTTTATAAATTCTGTAGAGTTATACTCTTTCCTAAGTTGCGGTATGAAGACTGTAGGTGCTCCCACAAAAAGACCATGGATGAAGAAGAATGACACGACTCCACTGAATACGAAACTCTGAAAAATGACATACATTTGTACATCTCCATGTACTTATCAAAAGATAGGAATCTATGAATACAGAACAATTAATGTAGATGTAAATAACAAACAACATTTTTGTAATTGCTTATTAAAACGATTTAAGTTGTATTGTTTAATTAAATTATATAATACTTTTAACAACTAGTTGTTTAACATTTTATCTATAGAATCAGCTTTACAAATGTATGTGTTAAATGTCCAAAGAAAAAATAGATCGACAGCACATCTTTATTGGTTATGAACCCCATGCTAAATCACACAATTTGTTTTATAATTGTATATATTTGAACAGCTAAGTTAAACGATCAATAAAATTACAACTTAATTAAATAAATAATGTATATAAAGAGGTTTTTTACCTGTCTGAGCAATGGTAACCACGGATTAATATTATTATAACTAGGATCCATAATCTATGAGGAAATACCACTGTACGTTCAACTTGTACATATTAAATGTTATAACTAATGATTGTATGGACAAAATAAACAAATTAATTATACTAATGAAATCGCATGGTGTCTGGCGCTTTAAAATTCTATATAGTTTATCATTACATGACTTCAATGCCTAAAAGTATTTTTATAGACCCCTAAAAAGTCCTTCACTTGGTGATCCCACAATCGTACTAACAAATATAATATAATTGGCAATACATTACAAATGCATTAATTTAGACCACATTTGATTACCATAAAAACCATGGCTGCGAGTTAATCTTAAAAGATCTTATATGTCTAATACTGTTGAGAACATTTTATTTTTTTAATCTAAATATAAATTATTCTTTCATACATATTTTTAGTTTCTTGAACCATATTTGTAACACACGTAACTCAAGAACTGCTGAATTGTCTTTGCTGAAGATTAAGGCGACGCTTGGCAACAGAAAAGAGGAATTATCCCATTCGACAGCATTTTGGTATGACGTCACAAAAAATGTCATACCAAAATGCTGTCGTCATACCAAATCCTGTCGTATGATAAATCAAAAATACATGCAGGTTTTAAAGGCAATTTAATTATCACATTTAAAATTAAATTGATACAGACGGGCTCATAAATCCATTGTAGGAACATTTTTGAATGTGTGTGTTTGTGTATTGTTATATCCAAAGTTATGTAGACTTTGACAGAAATAATAGAATATAATATTACGTCATTTCACACCTAAGTCAATAAACTACATAGAAGAAAATTAAATTAATTTCGGCTTTGAATGTATCATACAATATTTACTCGAGAAATAACTACAACCGTAGCTTTAGTGTATAGATTTGATCCGGGGAAAAATTTAATTAGATAAAGACAGTATTTTTTAAGTTTAATCAGGCGTTACGTAATTGTCTCATTACAAAAGAGATTAACATCTTATGGAAGGCATTTCTGCTTTTAGTAGTTTATATAGGAAAAAATGACAAAACAAGATGAATGTTGTAATAAAAATATGTGTCTGGACATCTGATTCTGTAGAAGCGGACTTTTCACGAGCTCGTTGGTGTAATAGTAGCAATATATGGCTAACTATCAACGAGACGTAGGTTCGATTCCCACCGTGCCCAACATTTTTCTAATCGATTGCAATTTTTTCTGAAATATCTGACTGCGTCTGGATGTCTGGATATTAAATGGGCGGCAGGATAATCGAAATTCCATCCAGGCGACTGTTCACAGATGAAAAATCGCGAATGTTAAACACCAATCAGGCAACGTTATATGGCTGGGATATTTCACCTACCATCAAGTGAGTTCCATACTTGTCTGTCCGCCTCTATTATAAAAACGGATACACATGTAAATGCACCGAAACATGGGAAATGTCACGTTCGCTGCCTCATAGTTAAAAACGTGTCGGACTGTCGCTTAGTAACAGTATAGATCAGGATTATGCCCTGAATGACATTTGGCACGGGGAATGGGGAATGGGAACAACATCTATAGTCATTGCTCACTTACGGGCTTAATAGAGAGCGATTGAGGCAGAACAACGCTCGTTTTTTGTGCATTCCGCCATTACACGTCGATATTGCTGTGTGCAAATTCATTCAGTTTTCGTGTGAATTTCGCACGGATTTACTTCAAATTGCTGCATTTAAATTTGCGTCTATGGAAGGGCATAATAATAACCTATATATAGAACAGACACTGACACTGGCGAGGCTCGAACCTACGACAAGTAACGTTAATACTATACATGTATTTTTTAACATGACATTTAGAAAAAAGTTGTCGATCTGATAGTACAGTGGTTGTTGGTTAATTATATGTTTTTAGATCATTTTCACTATTCTCTTCAATGATTTCCGAAAATTACTTTTACGACCTGAAGTTTCTACAACATACAACTGTCACTGAACCAAATAAATTCGAATGTAAAAATTGTTTTACGACAAAAAAAACTAAGTAGTTTGTCTGACACTTTCCCTGTATTCCCTCCCCCACTTCCTTCCCCAATTAAAATCAGCCCTATCTGTAATAACAGTATGCTGACAAAATAAATACAGAATTGCTCTATCAAAATTTACTTGAATGGGTACTTTAATATTTAAATTACATAAAAACACTAAAAAATATGTTCCATAGTTATCACTTCCTTCCGGAGATTAAGGTAAGTGAATTAAGGTCGTGTAAAACAGAAAAGATAACACCCCTAAGCAATGCTAATTCTACTTTACACGATTGTGTTTTTTTAAGATAGAAGAAGGTGAAGTAATCCACCCAAATAACATCTTGACAAAATACGCTTATCATGTATTATTGTAAATCTCCATTTTCAGGGTTGCCTGGAAGAAATCGCTTTTTAGCGATAAGGCCGCCTTTTCTCGCTACATTTTGTTAATTTTGGTTAAGTTTATTTTGTAACATTGTAGTGAAAAAAAAAATTTTTTTGTTTGTTTGTTTGTTGTACGCTGTCGACCTATTACGCCTTTGAATATTCGGTGACCCACAGACTGAAATCGCGATTCAACTTCACGACATTTTCATCTGCGGATGGTGGTTCGTGTTTCGAGAGGAATTTAGATTTTCTTCCCACACATTTAATACCAGGTTTTCAGTCGACATCAAAGTCCGAAAATATAATTTGATTGGAATGTTGGACGTTTTGGGGATCGAAGCGACGACACGTTTTTAGTAGCCATCTGTTGAAACCACATATAAATACATAAATTGCAAAAAGAATTACATTGTTCTTTGTAAAGTAATTTACACTTTAACATAATTCAAAGGTTAATTATCTTTTTTATTTCATTAATTAATGACGACAACTCATTTTGAAATTAATAACTCGCTATAAAGCTATTTTTTAACATTGCTACCCTTTTAATGTTCTTGTTTTTACTTCATTAAATCGTTAAGTAAATTTTCTTTCACCTTTATATTACTAAAAGTATAAATACATAAATATAATGTTCAAAATTAATAAACTTCTACTAAGTTGTTTGTTTCAACACAAAAAAATAAATGCATTACAAGATATTATTATTTAAAGGGCTAAACATTTCCTTTTTTTTTATTTTAGGCAATCTATCATGTTCCTATAGTATTAGAATCGTAACTAATTTAACATGAATTTTTTTTTTAATATACATACGACTATATAAAAAAAAAAATAGATGAATTGTTATTTGTGTTTGTTAGATAGTAAAGAATCTTTACAAAAATGAAACAACATATGAACCAGATCGAAAATTAGTTTTATAAACCAAAAGATTTCTCAATCAACATAAACAACAATTTAGGCCAAAAAAGAGAAGTTTGTCTACTTTTATCTCATTTTATTTCGAATTCATGCAGATTACAGTATAAATGAATATAAAAATATACTTGACAATAATAAATAGGATATACAAAAATACATTCATACTTATCATATTAATTATGGGTACAACATAAAAATAGTGAATACATTAAAATGTGTCATCACAGAATACTGCCCTGGCGTTGGGTCAACGTATTCTTCTATAACAAATTACTTATAAAACTACGGTAGCAATTACCACCGCCATACAGCATGCACATTTTAATCAAATTGAAATACGTTTTATAAATATTAAAAAATAACGTTCAATAATATTAATCAGTCGGAATTCCTTGCAAGCTGCTCACCTGTTTGGTTTAGTAGTTTTAAAATGGAAGGTGAAGTTAATAATTTAAATAGTGACAGTACGTGGACGGTGTTTATAAGACAGGTGTGTTTTAAATATATTGAGATGGTGCTTTTATGACAGACGAGTATTATCCACTCGATAATAAGTAATATAATATAATAATAAATAAAATAATAAGAAATACCCCAGTTGGTAGTCCAAAGCCAAAATATGGCTACAGTATATTTTGAAATGGTTTTTGGACCTGGCGTTTTTCACCATCACGGTCAAAATTCTTGTATTTATATCTTATTAATAAGTTTTTCAGTTTGTACTGAACATAGGTAGGAGAATAAAAATGTAACTGATTTTACTCAGAAATTAATAACTGTATATATTAATTTATGAAATATAATTTCTAACTAAAATGTGAATTGCATTCACACTTTGTTAATGATCAAAATCTAAACTACCACTACCAGCGAAAATCATTTTAATTAACGGATTCCTGGAAATTTAATAACAAATCGATTGCAGTTATTCATCTGCGTGGGAACAATAATTATATACTTCAATTACGGACTCTACTTCGGCGCACCGACCATTTTTATCCCGCAAATAAGGAGAGCAGCGAATTCCACCGATGCTATAACATTGGAAATGGAGTCTTGGCTATGTAAGCTACCCATTACATGATATTAATTGTTAATTTATATTACATAAAAATATGACGCGATTAATATCAACCATTCTCACGTTTTCTATGTCAGAATGGTTGATAACATTATCTAACATACTTATGTATTGTGAATATAATGAAGGCGACCCCGTTTTACTTGAGCAGTATGTATGTATATTTAGGTTTGAAGAATATTTTATTACGTTTAAATTGTTCCCTCTGAACAAGATGTCTCCCCCCGTGACCATGTCTATTTATTTATTTATATTAGTTTATTGTTTACAAACACCCCAGGAATTATTAGTAAAAATAAATAAGCATAAAGTTATACGAACTTTAATTTCGCGTTTAGAACCGATAAAAATGTTTTATTAAAATTTTTCTAAGACATTATAATAATTAATATTTCTAAGATGATTTTAATTAATTTTCTCTCAGAAGGTAATATTCTACTCAGTTCGTAATATTTGAAATTTAGTAAAGAAGAATAAATCGCTTTTTCAATTATTACGCTCTTTCTATCGACATTCACAATAATTATGGAAAATACACGTAAAATTGATAGTCTATTGTTGATCGTTTCAGCCGCTGCGGTAGCCTACAGTTCAGTGCCGTGGATTATAATTCTTCCCGTGCTGGCTTACTATTATGGACGTCGAATACCATCATTAGTAATGTGGATGTTCATGACAGCAAGCGCTATCACTCTATACTTCAGTTCGAATGTAAACGAAATCCTTATCAGTCAGATTTTGCAAGGAATCCTCCCAGCTACAACAACAGTATCAGCTTTGGTGTTAACCGAATATACAAGTCCAAAATATAGAGGAGTCTTCATGACTTTAAAAAATGCGACGTTCTTCTGGGGAATCTGGACTGCCAACGTCATCGGTACCTTCTTCCATTGGAAGGTGATTCTCGTACCCATTTTTACATGCTGCGCAATAACCTTGACTATGGTTTTCTGGCCGGAGTCGCCATACTGGTTAGCTGATAAGGGAAGATTTGAAGAGTGCACGACGGCTCACAGATGGCTGAAAGGCACAAATAAAGAAGCAGAGAAAGAATTGAACCAAATTATAGGTGTTCACATGGAGAAGATTAAAAATCGCAAAGAGAGTTCATCCTTCAAACAAAGCGCGTTAAAGTACTTACGTATTGCAAGATCGGATGTGTTTTATAAGCCTACTTTGTACGGTATGATGGTGTCCGGATTGTACATTATTTCTGGAAAATTGACATGCAGTATTTACTCAATCGGAATAATTAATAAGATGACAAAATCGGAACAGGCGGCTTATTTCGGTATGTTGGCTGTTGACGGCATAACTATAGTTGGAATGTATATGGGTTGTGCTATATCGAAGTTCGTTGGTCGAAGGACTCTCCTCGTTTGGACGTCTAGCGTTGGTGCCTTCTTCCTCTTCATCTTATCCTTATATTTCTTCCTGATCAACTTGAATATCCTGTCAGAGAACAAATTTATATCTATTAGCTTCTTGACATTATTCTCAATGGCTATCAGTTGTGGACCAGTAATTTTAGGACCGTGTATTTGTGGAGAACTTGCTCCATTAAAGTACAGAAGTACATTCATTGCTGTTAATGCACTTCTGATTTCGCTGATCATTGGTACAGTTATAAAATTATCGCCGTACGCTTTCGAATACTTGGATTTGCATTGGTCGTTTTTGATATTTGCTTGTAATACAGCCGTTCTGACGTATCTAGTGTACAGATATTTGCCGGAGACGAAGGATAAAACGCTCTTCGAGATACAGGAGCAAGTAACTGGTACTCGCCTTATAGTACAAGAAGAGACGACAAATATGTTGCCTACTGATAAAGATGTAGAAAACTAATAAAAAAATCGTGATGTGGATAACTAAAGATAAACATACATTTGATACGTGTGATAGTTTAAACAATTTATTTATTTCAAAATATATTATAAAAGAAGGAAGACAAAATGAAGTTATAAAAACTGTACTTTTTATAGTTTGGTTCTAGGGTTAAAGTATACAGACATACTTTGGGACTTAAATTACTGTATATACTATAAACTAAGATTATAAGCCGCAAAAAATACTTAAAACAATATTTTCCATGTTATTGCCTGGCACTATAATAAAATAAAAAAAAAAAAAAAAAAAAAAAAAATTTTTTTTTTTTTTTTTTTTTCCCCCCCCCGGGGGAGAAATTTTTTTCAATTTATTTTCGATTTTTAAATTACGTTAATTTTTAACAGTAGGTGACACAAAAAGCGATCCGGAAAAACCGGTAGTAATTAGGTTTTCAAACGACAACTTTATTCATGGTTTTGTGCGATAAATATATTTTGTATACATATCAGCTTACACAGTCCCTTACTTAGGGATAGATAAGACATAATGTATGATAATTATATCAATGCTTTATCACATTTAGCCTTAGAAAAAAAACAAGCCAAAAATATTAGTGTTTATTTTCAACTTTGCCTATTTACTAATAACTTAATAATGTCTTTTTTGATAGCGATAGAATTATTTATTATAAGAAACTTATTTATAACTGGAACCTTTTTTACGTTTACCCGTTTTTACGTTTGACAGAGTAAAGACCTAAAGTCTTTACTCTGTCAAACGTAAAAACAAAAGGCATTTTTACCCCCCTTAACCCTCCATTAATATTCATAAAAAAATCACACAACATCTCGAATTGTTTATAAGTGAAACTAAATGCGTTTCCATTGACCCCTGACTTATTTCTGTTAAAAGGTTCAGTTTAATCGTTTTCATTATTTTATGAAAATATCGATAGCCACGGTTACTTAACCCTTCTCCATCAATCGCAATGCATAATAAAGTGGCAATCAGGAGCAATAACAAGGCAGAATCTCGCGGGAAATAATACAATTCCAATCTACTTTCAATTGGCTCAAATCTCGCGAGAGGACGTATTAATTTTAAATAGCAAGGAAAAACACAGGTGTATTTTGAGACACAAACAGGATGATACAAAAAAACACGTCACACTCTTTGGATCATTAAAAAGATCAAGTTAGTATTGATACTGGAGCAAATGAATGTTAGTTAGTCCCGAGTTTTAAATAACACTTACATTATGAAATCTACGGCTTTGTTTAAAATATCTTTATTAATTTCATACAATCAGAAAAATTCTCTGAAAACGACTTTCGTTTTTTGTACTCGCTTAGCTAAACTATTTCAAAAGCTTTTAAATTAGTAGCTTAGTAATTTTGAGCTTAGCACCAATAAGTTCTTAATTTTGGTATATTTTTATAGCGTCTACATATTCATTAAAATTATAAACAGCCTGTATTACCAAAGAAATATATTATTATATCCGTTCACCGTGTGTTTGACGGGTAATTTCGAATGAAATTACTAAGAAAGGTGTTGGACGGTATTGAAAGGAATTTGCAATTAATTGCAAGGTTATTATTATTTTATTTAAACACACATTATCATTTTATAACGTTACTAGCTGTACCGGCGACTTCGGTCGCGTAGAATAGTTATTTTGGGTGTCAAGTTTAGTTTTTTGCAAATCTTCCCTCATTTTTATAAATAATGACTATTACCCACGACGCCATTCACATTATGTCGTTCTTGCAAGTTAATATTATAAGATAGGCATATCCATTTTTACAGCGCACGCATCGGAAACCTTTCCATAATTCAAACTAGTTGTTCCTGAGCTTAGCGCGTTCAAACAAACTCATTTTCACGCTTTATATATTAATATAGAATATAGATACTGAGGTCACCGTTTTATCAAGAATCTACATAATATGTAATCGTATATACTGTAAAAAAACTGCCAAAAAGAGTTCTGCATTATTAAATTTGTCGCGGTACTGTAAGACCTGAGTGCCTGAACATGCAGAATCCGTAAGATCGTTGAGAAAATTAATGTGCATATTAACAACTTAATTTCGATACACTTAACGTTCTTTAACTTTTTCATGCAACGACACTCTACACTTATACGCTGTACATTGCTGGTTTTTGGATTAATAATAAGGAATTAGGTTTAAATTAGATATGAGCTAAATATTATTAAATAAATTCACGTTATTAATTTAATTTGTTCTTTTATTATTTTTGGAAAGGTTCGATGGAAGTTGTCACAAATTTCATTCAATGGTTCGTGGTACTCGAACTATAAAGGGTATAAATTATTATAGTTTTATGTTACCCTTATAATCAACTATTATTTTAAATCTTTATCTACAAGAAGTCGCTTTTTAGCCATAATCCCGCCGTTTCTCGCTGCATAATTTTCTTTTTGAATCTTAGTTCTGTAACGTTTTGTGGTGACAATAAAATATTTTTTGTTTAGTTATGTTTCTACCATTATATACTTACATAAGTTACATTTATTGCTTGCCTAAAAATACTTATTTAATTTTTTACCTAAATAACTAATGTGTGTAATTAAGTGTTCCCTGGGTGGTGGTGGGTGGATTTATTAGAGAGTAGAAATATTTATCTATCGACAAAAATATATCAAATAAAAATACAATTTAGTCAAGCTCTTATCACGACACATCAAGAATAAAACTACAAAGTTTTGTAAACTAACGGTGTGAGTAAAAGAGAATAAATTTCAAAAGCATCAATGTATTATATCTATTGTTTTGACCTCTTCGGTGACAAAGCGCTATTATATTTTTGACACGCTAAGATATTTTGCAGCCTTGCAAAATGCTCTATCATCAAAATCTCTATACTCGTTATGAGTGTTGATTAACCATAAACAATATGCATACTAAATATTTTCATTAAAAATACTACGATATTCTTCTCTTGGGTTTCAGTCGTAGAACATTTCTTTTTAATTTAAGGTCAGGGCCTCCAATACTTAATGATGTCTGTGGTTCAGCTTATTGCAATATTGCATATTGCAACGTTGCTTGAACAAAGTTATTCCTGAATCGTTTGGAACATTTCTTATCGATAAGACGTAACGTATTCAAACGTATCAAATGAATGAGTTTAGATGTTCTTCAGCATTAAGAAATTACTATTGCCGGTATAAAATTGCATAGATATCACATGTCGCTTTCCCAGAAATAGTAATATTAAAATAATAATAATATTGTTCAGTGTAAGTCTATATTTAAAGCTTATAAGCGTAGTCGTGTGCATTGGTACAAATTATATCGGACTATCGCGCACACAAGTTCTATCTTATATAGATTCTTCGATATATGAATAGAAAATTTTTTGACATATATTGGTCTAAGGGTAGCAACGTATGGTTAGTGGTTAGTAATCAAAGGTTCGTGGGTTCGATCCTCACCGTGTGGAACAGGTTTCAATATTATATTTCATTTATAATTTTTCTGAATCATTTTAGACTTTGAAAATCTGTATATTAAATGGATGTAAGGAATATCGTAAATACCGGGGTACGGACCGCCGGCAGAAGCTGTGAAGTTTCTTATCTTGTCTGTGGACTTTAATTTTAATTAGCAAAATCGAAACAAAATAGATCAATAAGAAACCGCGTTAGAGGTTATATGGTTGGATATTTCACCTCACATCAAGTGAACTTTTCCTCTATCACAAAAAGATAGATTTTAGTGATTCACAGAGAATCAATCCACACATACCGTACTGAAATAAAAAATATTTCAGAATTAACCAGCAAAACGCTTGTTGTAATTCGCCTTTACTTAATACTTGTAACGAAAAGCTATTAATTCAAACATCAGCCCCGCAAGCACAAATTTGTTGGAATTAATATTCTATAAGAATGTGTGATAGGTTTGTATTAAATAAATAATAATAAAAAAACTACTAGTCTTCACGACTGTAGCTACCTATTGCAACACCGGCAGTATGCAATATTATCTTTATACCCACTCGATATAACCATGGATGGAATAGTGAACTTCTTCAACACAGTCCTATCGTATGCGGGAATAAAGATTTGCAACTTGGAGAAGAGAAACTCGAAACCATGGCGCTACTACCTTGTCTTCAATATGGGCATAGCGATCGCAACTATCGGCTTCGTTTCCAACTTCTTCGTCATTCACTTCTGGGACTTTGACAAAAGCATTCAGGCCGGTTGTTTCGTGTTGACATTTTGCATAACGTTCTCGAATTTATTTAACTTTTTCTACAATAAAATCGCTTATGAAACCTATTTAGATGAGATGGTGTTTAACGATCCAGGCAAAGAGATGCCATTGATAAAGGAAGCGTTAGAGTCTAACGTCACCGGTGATAAGAATGCCGCTTTCAAAAATTTTATCTTTAACTCAGAGAAGGAGTGGATTAAAACGTCTGGATTGATCCTGAGGATCTATTGGCTGTCCGCCTGGTTTACTGCAACTCTGTACTACTTAGGGCCTACATATATTCTTATTACAAAGAGGGGTACTTCGCGGGTTCTACGTAAGTATTATGACCTGTAGACATAAATTTAAGCTGAATTTGGAATATTGATATACAAAATCGCCTAAAAAATAATTAATGTGTACTACTCGCGTAAACTAAAGTATTTGATATGCAATATTTTTTATATTTATATTTTAGCGGTACATATGGAATTTCCTTGGAGTATTCAGAATTTTTATGTCTACCTTGGAGTGCTGATATACCAAGCACATGCTGGGTATTTGTGCTGTGTTGGTAAGAAAGGAACATGTACTCAAATTAAGTATTTGTTATAATATCTTGACTATTTTGAAATAAACTTCTTCTAGATTACCTTGCTTCATACCTATCTCCTTTTTATATGTATCACTATACTTACATATTAGAATATATGTATTTATTTCAAATTTAGTTAAACCTATGTCAATATATTATGTTCGATTAAAATTTAAAAAACATATTTATAATAGTAAAAAAGCAGCTTGATATTTTCAAGTGATCATTTTATATGTATCTAAAAAATCTAGCTTTGGTTTAATGGATTCGATGATTTGGGCGGCACTCGAACTTATGACCGCAGCTTACCCTGCTGTTGCACTACTAACTGACCTACTACGTAAACTGGTGAAATACAGTATTAAACATACCTGCGCTAATACTAATTGCTTTCGTAAAACGCATGCGCAAAAAAGAAAATTTTTCAGCCTACCCCTGCTTTTTGTCATTGCTGATGTTGCTTTTCTTACAAGTAACGCGACAATTGAACATCTTAACTCATATTATGATGAACATGAGTGACATGATGTATGAAGTTATCGGTGAGCGAGATAGAAGATGGGATCAAGCATGCTATGCCATTCTATCGCAGTGTGTTAAACACTACGTCAAATTAAAGAGGTAAATTGAAGCCGCTAGAGGCAGAGTAGCCTAACTGATTTTTTGATTAAATTTTTATTACTTTTTATTTAAATTTTCATAGTCTAAAAATGTTAATCTACAAGAGCACAGTGACTGAAATTTGTTAACACAATTTTTACACAAGTAATAGTACAAATTCATTTTCGTCTACGTTATTTGCACATTTTTATTTTCCTCCTAATGACAATCATGTTTTTTATTAGGCTACTCTGCCTCTAGAAGCCTCAATAATGCATTCGATTATTTTTGGTCTGTTAAAACACAGAAGACTTATTAAGAGTTAGTATAAACGTGTATAAAACTTGGGTTAACTTAAAATTAGGAATTAAATCTCGGATTTTGAAAAAAACTAGATCATAGAATTATGACGCTAATTTATTTAAAGACAGTCATTTTATTACAATTGCTAATATAATTATTTAAATTACAACGCAGACTATAATGCGTCAACCTCTATTAACTCAATGTACAACTAGCTTACAGATTATCTGTATGTGAGCAGTTGGAGTTCGAAACTCGAGCGGGATTTTTTATATTCCACCACGGTCTAAGCTATGTAAAAATGTAGATTGGTTTTAGAAAATTGTTGGAACGTATGACCTTTTACAAATGCATTAAAATGCGAATTTATTTTGGCAGATTCGCAAATCGTTTGAACGGAACGTCTGAAATTTTCATCTTGGTTTTTATACTTACCGCGATGACACTAGAAGCTATTTGTTTTATAGAAATAGCCTTATCTGTGAGTACTGTGATTTTATTTATTCTAGTAATAAATAGGAAAATTTTTTTAAATATCTAGATTTGAATAAAAAAGAAATAAATTTGGTTATTATGACCGTACTAAAAATGTCAAGAATATATTTTTAAAAGATTTACATTAGTTATTTTCGATAGAAATCTTTCAGATAAATCTTAGCAAAGTGTCTTTCAATTTTTAGTAAAGTTCTCTAAAACTTCACTTACTTACTTTTAGCATGAAATCAATGTGGATACAATAAAGTACTTAGTACTTCTATCTGTTGTAATAATCGGTGCTTTTCTCTTATGCACTATGGGTCAACAGGTTAACAACGCGGTGAGTTAAAAAAATATTATCATTGTTTTTAATGATAAAATATGTAGTTCAAAATTAATATAATGATACATTTTTGAGTTAAAAGAATGTCCTACAGATTTATATATTTCGGCGTAGTGCACATTACTTTTATAATATTACTAGCGGTGCGCTCGACTTCGTCCGTGGGGAATTATAATCATAATTATTTATATTTCCAAAAAACCTCCTCAGTTTGATAAATTATAGCTGTTACCCATGACGATGTCCACGTAACGTTGTTCTTGCGACTTAACCTTAAGACATCTACTGTTGCGGACATTTATATGATTTAAAGAAAACTCATTCTTTTATACATATTTGTTGTTTAAAAATCGAACATAAATTGAAAAAAATTTCGACTCAGCCAGGACTTGAACGTCTAGAACTTGAGCGTCCAAGCTAACGAGCAAACTCTTCAGCTTTATAATATTTGTATAGATCTGTATACGAATAAAAATTGATATATTTCTATTTTATCGTGTGTCAATGTTAAAAATACTACAAATATCTTTAAATTTATTTTTGAATCAGGCTTATTTTATGTCACTTTTACTAATGCAGACCGTGATACGTTGAATAGAATATAAAGATAAATAATTTTAGGTTGACGAATTGGAGTACGCGGTAACAGAGAAATGGTACATTTACGATTTGCGACATCGAAGGAGCGTGCTGATCTTCTACATGGCTGTGTCTCAGGGCATGCCGATCAACATCTATGGCTCCGTGGCACTGTGCTCTGATACGTTTTCATGGGTTCGTCCAAAAGCCACATCTTCTCTTGCTTGCCACTTCCAACTAGAAAATTTTAATTTGAAAATTCATTAATTCTATTTCAGTTCTTCAAGAGCGGTGTTTCTTTCTACACAGTTGTTAAATCGGTGCTAGAAGATTAACTTAGTCTCATTTTTGGAAATATTATAAAATGACAGATTTAACTTACTTATTTACAATATACAATTATCAATATCAAGACAAATAAAGATGTTTAAAATGGTTTAATTAATTTCAAGATTCTTTAAACTCTTTTAAATAAAACACATCAACGGTTTAAAACGCGATTTATGGTTGTGGAACTTATTTGAAGTCTTCCCGTGACCACGTCTGCTGCTAAGCATCCGAAACGTCGGCCGTAGTTAAACTAATTTTCAAATAAGTTTGACTAATATTAATCGCATTGTAAACCGTTGAAGTGTTTCGTTTAAATGTGTACTACTCGCGTAAACTATATACAGTATTCTTAAAACTCCTTCAGCTTTAATAAACTATTGAGGAAAGGTGAGTATGTAAGCAAATCTAATTTAAAATTATTTACTAGGTGCACAAAAAGGAATGAATGAAATAAAGGTAATATTCTTCCGCCATAACAGCAGCTATTCCCGACACGCCACGGCAAATACATTTCAATTATATCGAAACAATTACCACAAATCATGAGGCCACTAAACTAACTTCTAAAAATGAGAAACTGTCGAGAAATAGAAAGATCTTATCTATCTTTCCTTTCTTTGATAACATCGGTTTTTGATTTTGCGCGAAGCTTCGCCTAACTTATTATATTATGACGGCCCCGTTGCAGCAATGGTAGCATTGTTTTGGTAATAATCAATGGGTCCAATATTTTCCTATTAATTTATAATTCTTCTGAGATATATATATATATAGATCTGAGATATAAGTCGTCTGGGAATATGGATTTTAAAAGGGTCAAAACCACCGTCCACAGATCCAAAAGCCGGCAAGTTTAAACGCGTGTCGGTTTCAGTCTTGGAGTATTTCACGTCTCATCCATCATAAATTGTTCAGTACTAATATTTATATTTTTGGTGTAACACAGATGCATTGTACATTTAAATACTGTCTATAGTTTGCGCGAGTAGTACACATTTAAATAAAGCACAGCAGCCGAAACGTCGGGCCGAAGTTAAAAATCATTTTCAAATAAATTTAACTAATATATCGCGTTTTAAACCGTTAAAGTGTTTTATTTAAATTTGTACATTTAACTTTCAAACAACGAGATAGATTTGTTACGTAAAGTGCTATATCAAAAGGTAGCACAGCTCTGGCTTTGCAAGAAAAGAAAATCTCGCTTTTCTAATGGCCGCACTGAGGTTACGTAACACGAAAGGCAAGCGCCGTAACAATCTGTGCACGAGTACGTGACGTTATTTCTTATTTCTTCCTTCTATTCATTACGGGTGAGCCCATGATATACTGCAGAGCTTGCTTTGTGCCCTGCGCGGTGGCAAAGTGGCTGTTTAGTCTGTGAAAACCTGGGATTATAACACATATCTTAATTTACATTCAGATTAATTATAATACAACTATTGTATTGAGAAAAATCTAGGACACGGTATGTCACTTGGTTAGAGCATGGAACGCTGTGGATGACGGTTCAAGTCCCGACCGTGTCGTATTTTTTTTATTTAAAATAATAAATCTTATTAAGAAGCAATTTTTTTAGGCGCGATCGTATTTTATTTTACACAATTTCCGGTAAACTAACGTGGATTGGCGGTGTATGGTTTAGTTTAATTTTACATTAAATACGTTAATTTTACTCGTTGTCATAATGTCTATTCTCAAATATAAAATATATTTTTCAATACCAATTTTATTACGTCAAATAAAGTAGAAAAGGAACGCTATTTAGACTTTGCTGTCTGTCAAAAGTGCTGAAATAATGCTGAAAATAACATAAAATAAATGTTTTACCAAGCTACCAACCATTAGTGTTGTATGTAACAACACTTTCGCCTCTTTTCCCCTGGGCAATAGTTGCCTTCGCGCGTTCGCACTCGGCCGATATATTCAATTCTTCACATTTAAGGGTTTAAAACGCGAAATATATTAGTCAGCTTATTTTAAATTTATTCTAACTACAGTCCAACGTTTCGGACCGTTTTGCAGCAACCGTGGTCACGAGTAGTTGGCATTTGGTGAAAGTGACTGGATTATTCCCACGAGCCACGGTTTTCTTTTCTAAAAAAATACAAAATAAGTTATCATATATATTTTCTCGTTAAAACCGTTAAAAGTATTTTATTTAAGAGCGTACTACTCGCGTATATCTCTAGCCATCTGTAGCAATGCGTATTTAATGTTTTTACATTTAAATAACACAATCCAGCCAATCGCTTTGTTAAGTGTCAAACGAACGGTTTATCAACAGTCGACACAGATATGCACAAAATCACCTAACCATCAAATCACAGCACACTATCAAAACGCATGGAAAACCAGAATCATTTTTCGCCCCATCTGGAAAATGTATCCTGGAACTATCGCACTAAACACATATATAATAAAGTTTAGATTCCCGTGTCCATTTGCGATGACACCACCCATTTCATCGGCGGGATGTGCAAACAAGTGTTTTCCTGATTGGGATGTTTGACCGTCGCGTCATCTCGTAACGAACCGTAGCAGAGAATGTGGATTCATTAGGCCGTTGGGAAAATGCAAAGAAATAATGTTCAACACAATACGAATTACCTGAGTCTAGATTTTACCTCAATAGAAAACAAAAGAATATCGACAAGTGATGCCGCAACACTATTATTGATTTGCTAATGTAGTAACTAATAAATATTATTATATACTAGCTGTGTCAGCGACTTCGTCCGCGTAGAATAGTTACTTTGGGCAACCGAATCTGTTTTTGGAAATCGAGACAGTTTCATCTTTATAAGTTAAAGCTGTTAGCCGTCGGTCGCTTCCGGTCGTGCTTGCAAGTCAACCTTAAAAGATAAACATATTATGTCGCGGACATTTTTTAGATTTTCATTATTTCATTTATATTTTTTGGTAAGTTGAACTGTTTTCGTAGCGTACGCATAAAAAACTCACAAAGATGAATAATTTTCCGCTGTTTCTTCGCTCCTATTAGTATAAATTCTGTACGTTCACATTAGGATCCGACCATACTTAGTTTTGCCTTTCTATTCTAGCTGTCTTATTAACATAATATAATATCAGGTCTCCCATATATGTATATAGTTTTTGTCATAAGTTTTGAAACTCAAGTACATAATAACAACGTCATCTTGTAATCCCAGTATCCAAAGCCAAAATAGGTCGACGGCACATCTTGTTTTGATGTGATATGGCTGGGGTACACCTACCATCAAGTGAATCGAGAAGGACAGATAAGCATGTTATCTGTCCTTCTCTATTATAAGCAAAAAGAAAGAAATCTATACGTTAGAGAACACTCTCTGGGACAAGTACAAAATCATTTCAATGTAGCTGTGTAATATATAAAGTAATAACTATAAATATCTAGGAAAAAGGATTAGATTAATCTATCCTTTTAGCGATAATAGTCCTATTAAAAGTCTGTGATCCAAAATATTTAGGACATGAACAATGATGAGAGCGTACAGCTGATGGTGTAGGACGTTAATTGGTTAATGCATATTGATGGGTGCATTACGCCTGCGACACATCATCACGCACTAAATTAAAATCATAATGCATAGCCTACGTGCTACATATTATACAGGGTTACAGACTGATTGCAGAAATTCTCTATTCACTATTATAGTATTTGCAAAATTTCACGTATGAACACTTTTTCTTATAAATAGCAATTATTGATAATTACGAAGTGCGTAATTTTCACTGGATAACCACGGCCCCCAGCTCTAGAGTGACAGCTATCTATTTATTTTGTATAAAAGACAAACTTGTTTAAATGCGATCGAAATTATTACAATTAGATACAGGTAAAATGAATGTGATTCGGCACTGTTCGGCACTGACGTCTGTACTGTGACGTCTCACGGCACCTCTATACACAGTACAAAAATACTAAGTACTAACTATGTACTGTTCTACTATGACAAGTGGGTCTTTAGTTTTAATTAGTTAGTTAATTGGTCGCTAAATAAGTAAGTACATAATTAAAAACTTGGAAGTAAATATTATTCTTAAATTCACTTATTATTTCGCACCAGGTAGTCCAAACGTACACCGTTATTGTCAAACGGGTAAATTTATTGTCAGTTCATTGCAGAATATGTACCAGGCGGCTATGACCGCGAAGAAGTAAGTTAACCGATATATGTAACATTTTCTTTGGTAGACAGAGAGAGATAGATTGTAATTGGTAGATAGATGGAGATAGAGACAGAGAGAAACAAACGCGTAATACTTTCGGGCTAATGAAAAAATGTACCAGGCAGCTATAAACAGAAGGTAAGTAGTGAGTAGGTAACAAAGAAGAGAATTACGCGGGATCTTATTTTTTTTATTTAATAAGCTCACCTTTCCCCCTCTTACATCTAAAATTATTATATATATTAATATTAGTTTAAATAAAACACTTTAACGGTTTAAAACGCGATATATTAGTCCCCGTGGTCACGTGGTCTCCCCGGCTGCTGCAAAGCATCCGAAACGTCGGGCCGAAGTTAAAAATCATTTTCAAATAAGTTTAATTAATATATCGCGTTTTAAACCGTTAAAGTGTTTTATTTAAATGTGTACTACTCGCGTAAACTATAGACAGTATTTAATATTAGTTATTTGTAAATTAAGTAGCAATTAGTATACACAATTTTCAAACACGTCGCCAAATTATGATTTTGATTTGTGAAATTCAAATTTTATTAGAATATGATAAAACAAAATACCTAAAATAAAATTGACAAATTATTTTTAATACTGTTTTAATGATTTTTCAGTCATTTTTTATTTCTAAAATTACTGTCACAGATAACATAGACATTGTATGTACACAAAACGTAGTATAGATCGTTCGTTAGGCTCTAAGTATTAATTGGCTTAGTGAGCTTTGGCTTTTATAGGGCTAGGCTATGTTAATCAATGTTTGGCCATTTCGTTACTCATCCAACGTTGAAATCTAAACGAGGCCAAAAGGATCAGCGAA